ACTTTCTGAGCGTCTGAAAACATCAGTGTGATTCTGTTTTCATCCAGACCATCAAAGATGAACACAACTTTACACTCTTCATAAATCTTTGAGTCCAGATCTTGAAGTTCAGGATGAAAGTCCAGCAGAAGTCTGTGAAGACTGTACTGGTGATCTTTAATCAAGTTCAGCTCTCGAAATGGAAGCACAAACATGAAATCTACATCCTGATTGGCTTTTCCCTCGGTCCAGTCGAGAATGAACTTCTGCACAGAGAAAGTTTTTCCAATTCCAGCGATGCCTTTAGTAAGAACAGTCTTGATTTTGTCTTTCTCCTCACATCCTGGTTGATGTAAGGGTTTAAAGATGTCATTGCAGTAGATTGGAGTGTGTTGTGTTCTGGGTGTTTTCTCCATCTGTAAAACCTCATGTTCTTCATTCACTCCTTCACTCTCTCCCTCTATGATGTAGAGCTGTGTGTAGATCCTGTTCAGGAGGTTTTGATTCTCTTCTAGTTTGATTCCCTCAAATAATCTCTCATACTTGCTTTTCATGCTTGTTTTATGTTGGTCTTTGACTCTCTGTCTGATGAGGGTCTGACAGTCAGAGTTAGTGCAGGTCAGACAAGGCGTCACTGATCTGATCACATCATCTCTCTTCACTCTGCAGAAAGTGTGAGATGAGCAGAAAAACTGTGAAAAAAACATTAAAATAGAGAAAAACTTTCAAATGTTCCTGCACACCAAATTTTGAGCTCACATTTACACACTTATGACACTTAATTATTTAAGGGTCAGTTCAGAAAATAACAAAGCATCATCTATATAATAAATCATAAAACAATCTTGCATAACCTTTTTGGCTCATTAAAGAACTGTAGAGATGTTTCCGTAACTGCTGTTAAAACACATTTATACGCACTCAGGGTCAGAGGTCACTGCTCCATCACTGAAATTAAGGGGGATTCCCATGGATGCATCACTCTTCATAGACATACAGCTGGGTTCTGGAGATGCTGCTTTATAAGTGTGAACATCCTCCTCTCTCTTCTCATAGACACTCATTTTATAGGCAGTGCTTTATAAAACCAATTAAAAATAGAGAAGGAATCATCAAAATTCGTAGCCATTTAAACTAATGTCATACAATCCTTTCCTCTGTGGTAATAAACTCACAAACATAAATTTTAAAAAAGCTACTTAATTTAAATGATGATTACTTCATAGATTTTTGAAAAACTGTTCCCCCTGATCTCATGATGTGGTCTGACTGAGTTCAGCTTTTTTGCAAAAACCCCTGTTTATTCAACACAGCTGTCTACATTGCACAATGAATCTCTTGTTAACATTGCTTACACACTTTGTTGGTCATAATGACAGCATTCACAAGAATACAGAACTATAATCTGTCGCATTTATGTGCCTGTGACACAACAGAAGTAGCTCTAAATTAAATGCCGTAATCAACACTTGTCATGATTTGTTAATCCACAGCAGCTGTAATCGTAATGGTTTTGTTTTTTTATTAATTGTGCGCTTTGTTCAAGACTCCACCCATCTCATTTGTAATAAACAGAACACAAACTTGATAAATTTATCCTGTAAATCTCTAGTCTCTGTTCTAAAGCTCATTCAGATCCAGTGGTGTAATGTAACAAAGTAATAATACTTTGTTACAGTACTTAAGTATTTTTTGGGATTATCTGTACTTTACTTGAGTTTTTATAATTCAGCCAACTTTTACTTTTACTCCACTACATTTCCTAATTAAAATGTATACTTTTAATCCGATACATTTCCCCAAAGCATATTCGTTACTTACTACAAAATAGTCAGAAGTCAGAAGAACACGGACTGCAGGAAAGCAGGTTTGGCGAATCAGTGGTCTGGCGTCTGCAAGTTAGATTCCTAAAAACACCTTTGCTCATGTGCAAACAAGTGCGCGCACAACCGCGGATGATTCATTTTCCATTTAAGGTCGAGTCTGGGGTGTGCTGTGCGATATACAGTACATCTTCTGCGATAACATGGTAAGTGTTATTGTAATGATGTGCGATCTGACATTATCAATTAGGCTACATCACCAAATCACACACACAGAGTGCACGCACGTGATTTATTAGTCTATTAAAAC